TAGAAAGGCCCTGCAGAGGCCTCAGTATCTGTATATTGACTGTTTTTGGGGCAAAGTCCTCTGAATACGGCATCTGTGATAGAGCCTGCTGCGCCGCGCCACACCTTTACAACCAAGGCTTCAGGGTGGAGGAGCAAAGGAAAACCCTGGGTGATCCTAGAGTCGGTTAATGTTCACCATTATCTATAAATGTGTACTGTTTTTGTACTGTTAAAGAAGTGCTTGGATATATTTTAATATCCATCTTGAGGCAATAAAAGGCAGATTTATTTATGGAACACATTTAAGACACAAAGCAATTCAAAGTGCTTTACATAAAACTTCAAAGCATTAAGACAAAGTGCATACGAAACATACCACGAAATGCATTTCAATACAATTAAAAGCCGTCATTAAAGGGCCAAGAGGATACAAAATAAAACAACCTAAAAACAGGAACAGAATACAACTGTAAATGTAACAGTGCAGTGTGAAGTTATCACATTGAACAAAAGGCAGCGAAACACAGCACAGTCTCCAGGCTTGATCTAAAGACCTCAGGGTTAAAGCGCTCCCAGATATTTGGTCCATAAATCTTCATTGCTGAACTCCAAGTTGTTCTCAGTCGTGGTGACGTAGATGAGAACAACTAGGGAGTGTTAATGTGCATGTCCTAAAGGGACCCGCATAGAGAGGCTCCTTAACCAGATATATCACATTCCTCTTTTCTGTCACAATGGGCTTCTTTCATTTCCATGGGGTTATTTTTAAAAGTATAATCATTAAAGTATCAATAATGTATTCATTACTGGAACTAAACAAGTTTTACCAAATATGTGACAAACTACACAGAGGTTGTAGTCCGGTTTATCCCATATTTTAATGTTATCAAGCTAATCCAGTGCCCTTTTATTCCTCTCGTGCCAACACATTAAGCCTTAAGTGAGACAACCATGATCTCATCTTGACCTTTGATTCTCGTCACCAATTACTTTCTCTTTTAGTTTACATGAACTACTCCTTTTTCAACCTAAATAGTACCTACACTAGTTACAAAACAGCTGCCTAGTATTAAGCCTCTTCCAATGGAAGACTTTTACACAATAACTGTGGTGAAACTTTACAGCACATACCGTACCTCCTGTGGCCAAAGAAAGCCTGCAATATTAGGATACAAGTCTGCCCCTAATGTATACATTGTTATCAAACGCCATTGAACAACAGAACTATTTTGTTAGACATAAACATGTTTAGGAAATTATTTTAAGAAAACAAAGCTCTTGAACTGTATATTACAAATGAGCTGGCTGCTAAATACTATGAGTCGTATTTTTAAAGTATGTATACTGTATTGTGTAATTGCCTTTTTTTAATAAAGAGTATTACAAATATGCAGTGGATGTGTTTTCTATCTTGCAGCAGTGATACTAGACTATGGTCTACTGTAGCATATAAGCTCTATTATATATATCCTTTATTTCACCAGGTACAAAGTGTCATTGAGATAAAAATCTCTTTTTCAAGATCGACCTGGCCAAGAAGGGCAGGATGAACAAAGTTACAACAGATAAAACACAGATAATACAGGCAGACGAATACAGTGGTCGTAAAACACAAATTAAATGGCACATTAGCCAGTCGATATGGAAATAAAATAAACTATTATAAATCATTAAAAACTGGCAACATTTAAAACAACTTCAATTATGGGATATACGACCAAAGGATTCTTGTTCTCTGTCCTTTAAGATGGACTTAAACTCCCCCATAGTGATCAAATCTGAGGGTTTCAGCTCCTTCTGTATATTATTCCATGCAGAAGGGGCAGCATATTTAAAAGCTTTTTTACCCAGTTCTGTTCTCACTTTAGGAACCAACATCTGAATAAAATCTTGGGAGCGCAGGCCATATAGACTTTGTTTTTCACACATATATGTGCAAATATAAGAGGGAACCAGCCCAAGCAGAGATTTATAGAAAACCCAACAAATGGGAAAGTCTGCGTGCAGACAAAGATGGCCAATTAGCAGCAGCATACAAAGTGCAGTGGTGTACACACGATATCCACATCCAGTAACAAAACGTAATGCACAATGGTATCCAAGCTCTTTAGGCACTGGTCAGAGGCATTCATGTAAAGAAGATCACCATAATCCAAAACCGGTAAAAACGTTGCAGAGACCAAATATTTCCGTGTCTGAAAGGAGAAACAGGATTTATTTCTGTTAAAGAAACATAATTTTATTTTTTGCTTTGAAACAACATTTTCAGTTTGTGACTTGAAAGATAAGTTCTGATCAATAATAAAACCTAGATATTTGTATGTAGTGACTCTTTCAATGTCAGTCCCTTGAGCAGTACAAATCTTGGGAAGAATAGAAGTTAACTTTATGCCATTTGAGAATATCATGAGTTTGGATTTGTCTGCATTTAATACTAACTTGAGTTGAGATAAATGGGATTGAATAACATCAAAGGCAGACTGGAGGAAATCAAGACTTTGCTCTATAGAAGAGGATGAACAATAAATAACAGTATCATCTGCATATTATTTTTGTTTGTGCTACACAACTATAGGTCATCTTAAAGAATTCATAATTAGTCTTTAAGAAATGGTAGCTCTCTCTCGAAAGTAGATGACGAGAAAAAAAATTGATAAAAGAGGGGGCATCCGGATTTGAACCGGGGACCTCTTGATCTGCAGTCAAATGCTCTACCACTGAGCTATACCCCCTTGTGCTCAGTAGATGTGGCGTGTTTCTTATTTAAACACTATTGACATCTGAAATAAATATGACTCCGTATAAATCGTGATCGTTCATATTATGTTTACTTTAACGAATTGATTTGTATTGACATTCGCGTCGTAGTCTTTAAATTGTATTTGTTAAAGGTACAAACCTGTCTGACCACGTGGGGGAGAACTGAGCCTAGATTTGTGGCGATGTTCCGAGATTTTGACTTCTTGTCGGAGATCAAAGAATCCACCAAATTGAACGACAAATACGTCGTTTGGTATGTAGCATATGGAGGACAAAGCAAAATAGAAATGTTTCCTGCTCAGACGCCATCGGAATGACGTATTTGACTGTCCCGTCCACAACGTAGTAATTTCACAGAAAACAATAAATACCTTTTAATGAGACAACGCTATGATTAAGGTTTAGTCCGGTTGAGAAACTAAATGGACTTGCTTATGCTTAATTACAGATCATATTTCGGGTTAAATAGGTATTTAGGAAGGGTAAACAGTGGATTGAGTAAATGATGACACCTTGAGTAATTCAGACTTTTCGTTTGTATGATTACAATTAGGCCTAGTCTTAATAGTCAAGATAGGGTAACCCTACACGATGTTCTAAACATGAACAACATTTGAAACTAAAAGTGTGATAGGTCGGTAGCCTACAAAACAACTTGTTGACTAAGAAAGTGGTCAAAACCAATCTAGCGTAGCCTTCATGTTGACACAAAATAATCAAAGGCTAACTAAACATTCAAACTAGTGCTGTCATGTAAAAAGTAGGCTACATTTAAATAAATTAAGTAACTAGAAGCTTTCCTGCTGTAGACTAAATAAGTACAATTTTGCAGTACTTGTAGGTAGGCTACTTGAACTAATTGGTCTAATTTAGGATTTCAATGTTAAGCTACTTTGTAAGCCAACTTTTACTAGGCCTACATCTCAAAGGTAAATAATGAACGTTTTGCTTCACTCCACTTGGGAACTTAAATTACTAGTAATTCTACTCTGCAGATTAAATACACATTTTAAATCAACTAATGAACTATGATATATTAATATAGATTAAGCAGCCCAGCAAAAAGTTAAATCCACCATTACCAGCAGTGCAGTAATGAGCTTTTATGTCATTCAAATCACTGTATGCAACCTTTTTTCAAGAACTTGAGACAAAGTAGTATTGCATGTTAACACACAGTTTTACAGTGATAGAACAACAAATCCTAACACATAAAGGCTTAAGTTACCACATGGAAAGGGTGATCTGACTGCAAGAAAATGTAGGATAATAGGAGTTTTAGGTGGGCCTGTTGTAGGTCAAATAGACCGCCGTCTACTGCAGGTAATACAATCACAATCTCAGAGTGATAAATTATTATCTGTTTTTCCACATTTTGGCTTTTATTTGGATTATCCTCATCAGCACATGAACGAACAAGTGATGCTATGCTGAGTAAGTAAATCTAAATTGAAAGTTATTCAAACCTCTGTGTATTTATTTGTTTGTTGGAAGCCATAACCTAATAAAACCGACACCTGCTGCTGCACATTGTACACTGTGCGTATGATATTATGAGATTAGGCACTGATGGACTTTCCAGCTGTGAATGCAATAAACAGTCAGCTGCCATTTTCTTTGCCAAGGACTCTGTATTTGCTCTCGAAACAGATACAAATTATGAAAGCTGCGGTTGAGTGGTGCAACAGCGCTTGTAACATACATGCCATTTTAAACAAAATGTACTTTACCTCTGGAAATGAAACTGCAGCAAAGAGACGTTTCTATTCATTTTGGTCACAATGTTGTTGTTAAAGTCAAGACAATGTATTAAGGAGTAATTTACAGACTTGACATGGAATGTATAATATTATTACTAGCATTTTTGTTTTGTTTATCATGATAACCATGTCTAATCTCAGATGTCAGATGGCTCAATCCTCAGAGCCGGTTTGGACAGAAGGAGGCGCCATTCCCACTGCTGACAGTCAAACTCCAGTACATTTTCTTAATCCCAAAGAGAGTAAAGCATAATTTTATCAAATATAAATTAAAACTTGCTATCCAGGCCTTTAAAGTGTTCAGATGAAATACTTTCTCTTTTAGGATGCAAAGCCTCATCAGCTGATCCTCGTGTGTTTACAATTACCACGACAGCATTGAGGAGGAGGAAACAGGGATGGTGTGAGGAGAGAGAGGGAGATTTGGAGGGAGGACGAAAGATTCAGATAAAAGTTGTTTTTGCAAAGAGAAGAAGAGGAGGGAGAAGGAAAGAGGAGCTGTTATTCTGTTGTTCTGTCTTTTTCTGGCCAACATGTGTTTCAGTTTGGTGATGCTACTTCTCTGTCTCTCCCAAGCAAGGGGAAGAGTTCAACAGCAAACAGGTGAGCCTCCATCATCATTGCTTTAATATCTCCATCTTTCCGACTGTCTGGTCGTCACGGCGTCCAGTCACAGCGTCCAGTCACAGCGTCAAGTCACAGCGATGCTTAGGTTTACAGGTGTAAGTGTGCCTAACAGTTTTCTTTCTCTTGTGCTAAATTGGTACTTTATATTTTAAAGAGTTGCAAATAAACACTGCATGCATTTAATTTTGCCTAATTCGTTTTCCTTTAGTTTTTTTGTTAAAGGAGTTAGTTAATATTCTTATTTATAATTTTGTATAATAATGTTGTGCTATTTTAACTCACTGTAGACCGCAGAGGAGTAGGAGTCTTTGTGGAACAGCAAACATGCATGCTATGCCCTTTTTATTTTACTCACAAGAATGAATGACCCAGTTTACAATAAAGTATACAATAGAAATACCCTATTCCACAAGCATGCAACTGAGTCTAAACAACAACCCACAAACAGCTCGTCTCAGGTTTAAAATTAGATATTGAGTCTGCTTTTCTTCTTGACTCCCGGACCCTTCTAGACTCTGGCATAAAATGTCTGGAGGCTTTTCAAGCTGTCGGAGAGTAGATTTATCAAATCAAATCAAATCAAGTTTTATTTATATAACACATTTTTAAAATGACTTTTGGTCGAGCCAAAGTGCTGTAGATATAATAATTACCTTACAGTAAGGACACCATACAGCAAATACAACAGCAAAGTTTGTGCAGAATATCAGTATGAGAAAACGACACCCTCTGACACTATCAGTTACCATCTTTGTTTTTTGAAATATATATCTATATATAAAGATAGTTCAGGGGTGCAGAGTGTTTATGCAGGAAGTGAGTTTGCTTTGGACATTCATATTAATTTATTTCTAGTTTTGAGGAATTTGACTGGTCACTCTCCACACTCCTCTCCCGCATTCCCCTAACATTTCAGTAAATCCTCCAGTACTCCTCGTATTGTTCTGCAGAGTGAAATGTGTTGCAGATGAAAACACGATATGACAGGAAGTGCTCAGATATATGCTTGCAGGATAAGGGGTCAGCTGTTCTGTATTGACCTAACATATCCTCCTTTCCTTTGCCTAATTTGCTCTTAATTGCCCCTTCACTCAACATTATTTACTGCCCAGTTTTAAAAAATGACTCTGTTCCCGAGGGGGCCATCTACACCATCTGAACCAGTCTGTAATAACACCAAGCCCCAAGCAAAAGATAAATTGTGTACCCGTCAATGACCTCAGTGTTTGGCCTCTCATCTCTTGTCCTGCTGAAAGGTTTGCTTAAGAAATAGCCTGAAGCTGATCCAGAAAAGTTGGAGCTAAACTTGAAAAATGAGAAACAAAGTTAAGCGTATTGTATTGTAAGACTGGAGTGGAGATAGGATGTTGTGGTCTGTGGATCTTAAATTGAATCTTTATTTTTATGAAAGTCAAAGGCAATTTAGCTTGTGATAATCAAAACATTCTTGTGTTTAAGGAAAAATAAAGTGGCAAGAACAAAACGATTTATGTGCCAACAGCCGAGCAACTTGCTCTTTGAATAATGTTTTACTTTGGAACAGTGTTTGTATGGGAAATGGTTTTGGCCTGAACTCAGTCTCCATTTGTCTTATTTGTCTTATCGGACACAACCATTTGAAATGATAATGTTCTGCTTATCCATGTAGAGATATTGTTTCACCATAACAAAAGACATGTGAAGCAATCAGTGTGCTCAGGTTCTCTTAACAAAAGTTGACCAAAATGGGATGTCCATACAGTTTAGTTGTTGCCGTTTGTTAGGGACAACATCATTTAAATTGGTCATTTTTAAGTTTCCTTATTCATTTATTCTCCTCTCAAATAAATAATGCCATTGTGACTGTTTCTAGTATGTTACTTAGAAATAATACGTTTAAAATTGCATTCAAAAAGAAATACATTGCAGAAAACACGAAAAAAAAACACAATATAATTATATACAAACAACTGAGACACTACAAAAACCCAAGTGGATAAATTGAGGTTCAATATATATATATAAAAGGCCAGGGCATTCCCCCCCTAGAATCAAAAACATAATGAAACATTCATAAAAGAAAGGTTTAAGAACGGATTTAAAAGATATTCACTGAGATTACATTTGAGAATTGCACATCTGCAATTCAACCACATGCCTGAAATGAACTATGCATGTTTATTGCGGGTGATGTGAGCCTCTGCTCAGGAAGGGTGTGTTCTCTCAGACCGCTCTGTCCTGACCGCTCACAGAAAAAGGCAGCTAAATGTCGTGGTTTAGATCCTAAAGGAGCGGGCAGAGGTCAGTTTCCTGTCCAGATCATCTGCCCTTTCATTATATTTGACAAAAAGCATTTCCTGGTTTACCTCACCGGGTCTTTATACTTGTCATCCTTTGCTTCAGTGCTGCCTCAAATCGTTTTTAAAGTGTTTACACCCTGAAACAAATATTTGAATTTTGCAAACCTAGGCCAAGGGCAGATTTAGCCAATTAAAGTTTTCTCACTTTCTGAGTCAGACCAAAACCATTTCTACACTGTAACAGAGGCATGGTTTAGCTTTTGTAACCATAGTGTGCTTCTCTTTACATTCATACCCACACTTTATCTTGCTCTTTGTTTTCTCCTGCTCTAGTAAAAAGGAGCAGATATAAGAAACTAATCCAGGTTCATCTTAACATTTATAAACCACTTAGGTTTCTTTTGTTATTTATGTACTAAATATCTAAATATCAAGAATTAAGATCACTCCTATGTGAAAATCAAATGTCAGTTTGAAAGGTGAGTTTCATATCATCATAGTTAATGTTGCCTGCCATTTTGTGTGACTTGTTATAAGATACACATCAGTAACATAAGTGCATGTTGATTTTTTTATGGAAAGAGATGAGCATTTGGTTTGTTTTGGTCAGAAGAGACGATATGACTCCCATCTCACTGTTTTGATTATCTGCCAGGGATTGCATTACTATTGCCTGTGAGACTGATGGCCTGAGTAGATATTAAAGCCCCAGCTTTATGCTCAGCGTCTGCACCCCTCCCAGCTTTTCATAAACCAGAATAATGTTTATCTGCTGCACTGCAGACTATTTATCCTCTTACCTCATATAAATGCCATAACAGGGCAGACCCAGCCCTCAACAATCACACATCTAGGTGTATTATATGAGTTGCTACAAATGCATTGACGCACCACTTAATTGAATGAAAGGGTGGAGAGAAACAAGGATAAATAAAATAAGCTCCCTATGAGGTAAAGACTAGTCACTACAGCCACTTGTTAAATGACTCATTGTAGTTTTGGCGGCTGGAAGACATCAGTGTTCTAATTGTGTGAATTCAGAGTGATGTTTAAAGCAGGCATCACCAGCAGAAGTCCCACACAGTCTGAACTCTGGGGGTTTGGCACAACGACATAGTTTAGAGACCAACCGGCCTATGTTTCCCTACCACACTCATAAATGCAGGCATCAAACCAACTTCAAATTACATTTCAGTGGCAGGATGGGAGCTGCGCAGGCTGTTGGAACCCATAAGGAGTTGTTTAAAAGCTTAATATGTCAGATTTTTCACTCGTAAATGTGTTTTCTTGCCAATGATAAGACAAATGCTTGAATTGAGCTTAGGCTTTGAACTGTGTTTTTTTTAATAAACTAGGATTAAGTTCTAGTCTGTTAAATTGGCTAGTGAAAGAGTTGATGGAAGTATGTCTGCATGTGAGGGAGTTTGCAGTTTTCTTTTTAGGCTTGACAACATGTGTAAAATAGCTGAATTTAAAGCAAATGCCTAATTCAGATGACAGGTCAGTCTGGTCCTAACCTATAAAAAAAAAACTTGGTTTCTCTGTCCCTTTTGAGAACACAATGGACACCTTGTATTGTAATGTAGGTTTGGTTAGAGGTGGAGTTGTCATTTAATGTTTTTCACACCCATGAGCTACACCCTCATATCATTATTTTATACTCGGTTCAACAAAACCTCAAGATCCAACTTAATCCCACTTCATTGAATGTGCACTCACGCACAAGACTTTACTCGTTCTGGATTCGTGTTTTCTTTTATCTGTCATTTCACAAGAAGATTGTTTTAAAATTAAAATAACCTGAATTATTTCAAGACCAAGAACATTAGTTTCTTTATGATTGCTTGAGCATTTTGTTATTTTTAAACATATACATTTCCCAGACATAAGAACACCTTATTTTGCTAAATGAAACACTTCATTCGAAAAATCCAATGTTGTCAACGCATGACTTACACACTGCTGTGCTCAAACTAAAACACTAAACATTTGAACTTCCTAGCAATAGTCTTGGTTTCATTTCAACATAAAATTGAGAGAGTAAAGTATATGAGTATATTGACCAAACACAACACACATGAGCAGTTACTGCACCCTGGTGAAACTTTATTTCCACATTGCAAAACAAATCAACATATCCATGCATTTTCAAAAGGTATATTGTGTACTTAAAAATCCAATCTTCTTTTAAATAGAATATAATACATAAACACAGCAATATAATTTGGGACCAAACAATAAATCATGGGTTATAGTTTTTACTATCAAATCGGAGATAGAGGGTAATAAGGTTGGACTGAAGCGTAGGTCTTCTTGATTGATACTTAAAAATTATGTGTTTGCCAGGTGGTATTGGGCATGGCAATTTGAAATGGCAAACGAGTGATTTTATGTCACATGTTTGTTGAGAAATGTGTGAATTGCAAAAATGTTCCATGTTGATTTTCAAATTTAGCACAAAAAATGTTTTTGTTTTGGAGACTTGAGCTAATGTATTGTTCTCAAGAGTCAGAAATCAATTGTTTTGGTGAATTGAAATAAACTTAAGAGTATGAGAGAGGATGTAATTAAAAGTGATTTGAATCTGGTGTGTGTGTAATACGAGAGCTGGACAAAGACGTTTTTTTAAGTGGACAAACCTGGCAATGGTCATGTTAAAGTATGCTTGTTTAAAACACTTAAAAAAAGAAAAAAAATGCAGGCGTTCGGTTTAAAATAAATGGGATCACAGAATTATGGAGGAATACCACCTGGTAGCAAGAAAGCTACACATGCGTTTGAACGTTTTTCAATATTAACGTTAAAAGCCAAAAGTTCTTCACAGTCACATCGTGTCTAAATCTAAATGTTTAGTTAGTGCTTCATGTTCCCTCATGTTACTTTGAGAGAAGCTAAGGGGGCATGTCTTACGGCGCTGCTAATGCTAACTAGCTTTTAGATGTAGATGTAAGGAGCAAGCGTTAGCCTGATATCGACAGAAAACAACAACCACAGTGAGGATTGACACGTTTAAATCCAGGGTTTACATGTGTTTGAGCCTGGGATTGCTACCGGACCACTGAGGGCCTGGTAGAGTCACCCTGCTCAGTTTTATTCTGCTCAGTTAGCAACATGTCCCGACATGAAATCACCGGAGCAGCAGAGACGAACTCTTCGCGGCAGCCAAGCTGACCACGGCAGGAGATTCACGGTGTTTATGAAGGGAAACTGAACACGACGGAGTGATTGTCGTGGCTTTTTTTTAGTTCTTTAACGTTACCAGCACCGCACCAAACACCTCCTGTAGTTCCCTGGAAGCCAGACAAGAAAACAGAAAACGTTAAGTACAGGAAGCCGCCCATATTTAGGGTTAGATGAGACACCCCGCCAAATGACGACGCTTTCTCGGGGTTTATATAGGCCGATGTGTGACGTCATTTGTCGGCTACCGTGGTCTACCTAAAAAACGCGCAGCACCGTAATACTCCAGTGAGATGGATAGATTTTAAATGTACTCAAATATTGTATAATTTATATTAGAACAATTTTCATCTACTTATACTATTTTTGATTATTGCCATGCTACTATACTTCAACTCAACACTTTGCAAGTCAATATAACACTTAGGCAGTACAGTGTACAATTTTGAGGGACTTTACCCCAGTATTTCAGTTTTTTGCCACTCAATACTTATCCCACCTCTGCACTTAGGCAACTTATGATTAAGAAACAAGGAAAATATTTTGAAGTTAATAGATGTAATATATCAATAATCCAAAAAAGTAGCTGGTTTAAACTCACTATGTGACCAATTACGTGGTTTAACATTTCTGCAGACAATTCAATGCAGAAAGAAAGTCCTTGCAATGTAGCCTACAGCTCTATCAGTGGCCGAGGTTATACAAGGACCAGGATAGGTCCTCGTCTTGGTGTACCAGCAGTCTTGAATTTTCAACACTCTGAAAATCATATTGTGATGCTAAAATAAACTCAGAACATCAACTAGGAATATGCGGCTTTCAAAATGTGGATTTAAAGAAATCCAAACCATCAATTAAATCACCAAGAGCTTTAAAACAAAAGTTACCTACCCCAGTCTGCTTACTAAATACGGTTAACATTGTTTGTAAGATTTGACTGTTCCTTCCGAGCTCATAAAATGTTATTTGTATTATTTCTGTCTTTGTTTATCAGTGGCTTTAACTGACAAGGTCGAGAATGAAAATATCAAAACACATTGTAATATCTGATTTGGCTGAGTGGTTGATTCCTCAGCCTAAACTAGTAAACAATTTTAAGAGACTGAATAAAACTGGCATCTGAAATGTATCCCAACAGTAATGCTGCCAGAGTCAAAAAAATATATAGGCTCATGTGGGCTTTTCCTTTTTTCCTTTCTCCTCTCTCCTTAGAATTTCAAATGTATCATATGGCATGGAAGAAAGATGCAAGCGATTATACCATCAAAATCTATAGTAACGGACATAACATACTAACCTGATATTCATTGTTGTGGACAGATGATTGGTACAGTGTGATCTCAGAGCATAGAGAGTCCACTGGAGGTGACAATCATCCTCACAGAGCGCATCGGTCATCTTCAGGCCACATAAGGATAAGCAGGGCGGTCCTGGGTGGAGGGCTAACCATCAACAACCTGCCAGACAACACGACACGCGTAGTGGTGAGAGCTGAACCGCAGTGTTTTATGACTGTAATGGTTTGTGGCATAGACTATGTGTTTGGCTTTTGACATGTTTTATTTGTTTTGGTTGGAGTTAAACACTGCCCTGTTTTGGAAATAGAGTTTACTAATTTCCACTCACTAGGAGAGGTCTATGACAGCATATGAGTGAACTCTTGATGCCTGTATGACATATTTCCTAAAAACAGTCACACATTACAACTTCTAATCCTCCGTGTTTTTCTTGTGTGTAAGGAGGATTCTGGGAAATATTACGCATGGCGTAGCTTTGGCCCAGAAGACCAGCGCTCACAAGAACTATGGGTAGATATGAGTGACGTCCGACATGGTCAAGTAAGAGTCCATGGCATTCTGTCAAATGCATACAAACAGGCTGTGGTGAGTACAACAGAGAAAAAACAGAGGCATATTCTTACTTTTTCTGTAGGTTATTGGTGAAAAGTATACATATTAATATATCCTCTGTGCAATTTGCCCTTTATATCTGCAGTTGAATGCTCTGCCACTGAGCTATACCAACACAACTTAGGTGCTTAGTGATAGTCTTGTAATAACCATATGGTTATTAATGGTTATAAAATAACAAAACACATTTAAAAACAATTGTGCATCTCTCGCTTCTGCTCATCAACATAACATAAAGGTAATAGTAACACGTATTATAGGTATGACACATTTTGTAGATATGACAATTTTTTTAGATATGACACATATTGCATCATATGGGAACCCTGATTTTAGGGGATTTCTTCATCTGTAGTCAAATGCTTTTTCACTGGCATAAACCCCCTATGACAAGCTTATTTTGACTAACATTGGTGGCATGGTACATTTCATTTTTTTTTTTTACTTAAACAGTACAATATTAAGAGTAAGAAAAGGTTTGTCTCCTTAATTGTATTTGTTCACACTTTTAGAAATGTCATACCACAGCTATTTCTTCCCACACAGTTAACGGGGCACCCAGCGCTAATGGGGACCACATGCAGTCAAATGCTCTACTGCAGAGCTAAAGACCTGCTATGAGTTAAAATTATTTATCAATTTTTTTTTATAAATGACATATAAACACATTCAAAGAGAAGACCTTCACATAAATGCAAAATGTGTGCAAGACCAATACATCTGTATTTAAAGGACCTGTGTTCTTGTGACATATTGGTAGAAAGTTACTGACTGTGCACTAGCCTCTACTTAGTTGTTGTTTGGTTAGTTGTCAAACATTTATATCCTTATTGTACTTTTCCAGACTGACATGAATTAACAACTGTCACAGGGATATGGCTGAGTGGTGACTGAAGACCAAGACATCTAAAGTTTAAATCTGGTGCCCCCTACATGTGACATAATGCAGCATCTACTGCACAAGTGCAGCTGCATTTCAAGTGCGGTCTGCAGTCAAAGCTTTACCGCTGGAACCTCTGTCCCAGTAATTTGGTGATAGTATGAAAAAGCAGGAGGCATCCAATTATGTGCAAAATGTATGATCCACCAATACATCTGGTCAATTCATAGAATCTGGAGACACATTGGGATTTATCCAGATACCCTTTTTACTGAAGCTATGCAAGAGATTGTATAAATTGAGCAATAAAATGTATCTGTTCTATGTCCTTGATGAAATTGAGTGCAACAAAAACAAGTACACAGTCAGTTTCTGATTGTACATTTCTCAAATGAGAAAATCCCAAAATGTTCTCCCAATACTTTATTTTTAGGGTATGTCAGGATGTTCAGGTTGAAATATAAGGTAGGGGAGCTAATGGACCAGGGGAATGTCGATACATGCCAAGAGCTCCAGGCCTGCCAGAGGCTGTCAGCACCAACCAAGTTCTGACCTCTCGTTGTACAACACCTGGCACCTGAGCCAGACATACATCTCACTTTAATATAAAAAGATGTAGTGGGTCCAGAACAGGAAAGGAAAACTCCTAAACGCTAAAAAAATATGTAATGGAAAAAATGTATTCTCCATTTGGAAAGAGCTTTAAATAAAACATGTTCAGGTTATACAGTTTAGGAGTAAACTGTTTTTACATTAGATGTGTACATATTTGAAGCTAAGAAGAAAAAGCTTGCCTTTTTGGAAAACAAAAGGTACTGGTCATGTGTTTTTTATTATATTAAATTACAGCTAGAGCTGCAGGTGAGGGTTATCATTTGTATCAATGGTAACAGCAGGGTCAGTATTCCCTTTGCTCTTTTGATTATTGACACTCATAATAGAGTTTGAATATCTGTTTTGAAAAAATTCACACTCTGTTACCTCAATGACCTGCTCCTACGTAGCCAAGTTGTGTCTATGTTTTAACAAGATCATTGCAGTTGTTACATCAGATATTATGCTGAGGAGAGTGTTAGTCACAGCTGTCTGCTTTTAAAAGCTGAGTCAGAGCCTGCTAACGCAAACAAGTGCCTGTTCCTTTACAAAGAGTAATAATGATAACAATGTAAAATAGGAGCATGGGGGTATAGCTCAGTGGTAGAGCATTTGACTGCAGATCAAGAGGTCCCTGGTTCAAATCCGGGTGCCCCCTCATTTTCACTATGAACCGAGTATTTGAAACATGAACACATTCAGTCAGTCAGATTTCATATCAATTGTTCTAACACGCATTATCAAATGATATTCAGTTGAGTATTAACCCTGAAAATTCCAGTCAGGCCAATTTGGCATTACATGGTTGTTGATGGTGGGTGTTTGCTTTTAAGGCTGCAGGAAAGTGGACAGTTTTGCGGATAACAATGACATAAAAGCAGCAACATTGGATAACTTGCTTCATTGTTTTCTGTAAATCCCCCCTGTGTGCGCAGGCATTTGAATTGATTTGGAGAATAGAGAGTATTGACTAAATGTTGATGTTTCTGAATGGATTGATAGTATAACAAAATGGTGGGTATATATTAATATAACTCTTAGGGACATAACTAAACTCTTTACATAAAGGTGTTAGTGGAGTAATTAAATGAGTGGTGCTCTACCATACAATGAGGGAAATCAAACAAAACATAGCGCCTGCAGCCTCTTTATTCTATCTCAGTGCAATATAAACTTGGTTTTCTCCTTATTTTCCTCCTTGAAGAAAATGATTAGGATGCTTTCAACTTGAAAACGCTAGCAAACATTTGAGCTATTCCCCCAATGCCTCGTTTTCTCTCTGACTGCTTCTATCCACTCTCTTTGCAGAGGGTTGCCCTGTCGTTTGACTTTCCTTTTTACGGACACTACCTGAGGCAGATCACCATAGCAACTGGAGGTACGTTTTATTGTATTTTATAACAGATGTGACCTTTCCTGCATGCGTTCAAAGCAGAGAAGTGTTTTGCAGATCATACTCAAAATCTTACATATTTGTCCATCTGGCCATGTTCAGGCTTTATCTTCACAGGGGACATTACTCACCGTATGCTCACGGCCACACAGTACATCGCCCCTCTAATGGCAAATTTTGACCCCAGCTACGCTAAAGAATCTAATGTGCAATACCTGGACAATGGTAAGATACGACCACATATTTGATCATGATTGCCCAGTAACATATCTGAGACATTTTTGACGTTCCCTGTCTTCAGGTGAGGTGTTTGTGGTCCAGTGGGATCGGGTCAGACTCCTGGGAAAAGAGTCAGAAGGAGATTTTACATTTCAGGCTGCTCTTCACAAAACAGGAACCATCACATTCAGCTACCGAGATGTGAGTGAGACACATCTCTTTTCTGCTCTCAGTAGCTTTCTAAAATGGTGCTCTTTCATTTTGCTGCATGCATAAGCGGTTCCCTTTTTGTCTGTCAGATACCTCTGTCTTTAGATGTGATCGGTTCAGCTGAGCATCCAGTAAAGGCCGGTTTGTCTGATGCTTTTATGGTCACGCCAGTTTCTCCTCAATCACCAGGTCGGCAATAAAGTTTATGCAAATACGTTACATTCATATTTGTATCTGTTAACATGATTGTTTTGTGTTATCCTGCCATTGAACCAAACCAGATTAGGATAATAGAGTTGACGTTGAGCTTTATCTCTGTCCATTTAAACTCTTTTTGCTGCTGCAACTAACAATTGTTTTCATTAGTGATTCTTCTGTGAATTATTTCCTCCATTGTTTGGTCTTTAATACAAAAAAGTAAGAACATGTCAATCCCTGTTTCTCAAAGTCCATGGTGATGTCTTTAAAGGACTTGTTTTTTCATTTTGAAACCCAAATATTTTTACTGTAATATGATATAAAACAGATGGAGAAGGCAAGGCAAGTTTATTTATATAGAAATGTTAGAAGGAAATCATTTCAGAGGGTGGAATCAGCATTATTTATCTGTTGACTACAACATAAATCAATTATAAAAACAGATTGCTATTTTTTTTGTATTATCATTTTTTGACTAATTATTGCACGTCTACTTATAATAAAGACATTAACCACATATTTTAGATACATAGTAGCCTACTGTATGTGAAAACCTGACAACAAACCTATTATCGATTTAGGTGCCAAGCAACGGACAATTTATGAGTACCATCGGGTCGAGATAGACACTACAAAGATCACCAGCTACTCTGCTGTTGAGTTCACTCCTCTGCCTAGTAAGTGAATATTATTAAATATAAGTCTCTGTTCAATATGTTGGATATGTTATAATATGTTACCTCCTTCTCTTTATTCAGCCTGTCTACAACATGATAGCTGTGAGCTCTGCCTCTCATATAACCAAACCTCTGGTTGTAGCTGGTGCCACGTACTCCAGAGGTGAGCAGTACATTGCGATAGCCTAAACATTCATATAGTGCTGTTTTACCTTTGTAAATATACATCTGATGCGTTTTAGGTGTTCAGATGGCATGGATAGACACAGACAAGAATGGTTGGACTATGCCTGCTTAGAGGAGGTAATGTGGACAACAAGAATACTTATCTGCTTATTTGCCATTTTTAAGCCTCATGCATAAAATATATTGTATTATTGTATATGGGCAGAGCAAAAATGCAACCTGTGAGGATTACTCCAGGGTTGACAGCGCCACTGGTTCCTCTATCACACCAGAGATCGAGAATGTCACCTCACTGACTCCTCTACAAAAAGGCTGTGAATGTGATTGTGACGGTAAGGCTGAGCTATTCTTAGTATTTTTCCCCCACATTTTGTCGCTGAATAAGAATAGATTCAGCCATGAAATAAGTATGGAAATGATGGCTTTCTGTTTTCTCACAGATGAGACCAAACATCATATCTTTAAGACTGGCAACGGTGAGTTATTATTCTCAGAAACAGAATGAGAACAAAAAACTAAAATATAGAGCCCTTTGAAGAGGTATAATAATGGGGTTTCATCTCTATTACAGATGTGAAGACTGATTCTTCAACAAAGAGTGACGGGTTGGCTAACACAGGAGTGATAGCTGGTATAGCAGCTGCACTGGTTTTAGTTTTGGCTATGGTACTGGTAGCTCTTTACATCAACTACCATCCAACTGCTGCATCACCACTTTACCTCATCCAGGTGAGCACTGAATGTGTCCAACACCTGCCCTGACAGGAGCCATGTGTGCTTAAATTACACATATCCACACCAAACGTCATCTTTTACGTTTCTTGTTTTTTTTAGCGACGCAATAACTACTGGCCATCCTTGACGTTTCAGAAGCAACAGCCTGGTTACACAGAAGTGGAAGTGGAAGGTCATGATAAAGACAGCATTGTTCAAGCCGGGCCATGTTGAAATAATGGATGGAACCTAAAACATTTCAATTGAACTTATTTCTACAAACATCCAAATATATACATTTGTGCAAAACTAGTTCAAGTATTACATTCATATTGTTAAGACGTCAGGCAACATTTATGCAACCTTTTTTGTAGATTAAAGCTGATTTTTAAATATTCAACAATTTAATTAAACATGTATGTCTCTCTGGGTGTGTTTCAGTTTCAATTCCTGTTGCTTTTGGTGGGGAATTTTGAGTAGCCTACCTTCAGCTTTGTTTTGCAAGAACACACTGCACAGTTCCTGAAAAATACTCCAGTTTTAATGTCTGAAGTATTTTATATTTGATTTGATATTTGATTATGGAGTACTTGATGCTGTACATAAAAAGGGTGAACATCCTTATAGAAAATACCATGCATGAGGCATATTTAGGGAAACAGACAGTACAGCCTTTTTGTCAGCAGGTGTCCTCCTAACCACATATATGACATGGACATCAACTAGGACACGCAGTGAACGTGGCATATGTGTACAAATATGATTTGAGATCACTGTATTGGTAAAGCCCCAACAATCTGCAACAATGAAGATGATCGCATGCGTTTGCTATGCGAGCACAGATGGGAAGAGGACAGTCGTGTTGAACATGCACAAGGGTGGATCTGGATTACAACACAGAACTTGGACTGTGTTGCGATGGTATTTCAATTTCAGTTAAATATGCACGATGTATAGGTGATGAAGTTCCTCCGAATGAATGACCAAATTATTAAAATCTTTCTTCCAAGTAAAACATTGAACCTCCCACACTGCTTCTTCCCTTTCTGCTCGGACACGCGCCGCCGAGGGAGGGAGAGAGAAAGAGAGAGAGAGGGGGAAGCGGGAGTGCGCTTTCCGTGTCTGGTTAGTGGACTGACAGCCAGCTGTGCGGCTACAACGACAACAACAACCTCCTGGATTTTCTACATACAACTAGATTAGTGTTGGTCTGTTACTGATCATTATCTTGCACTATATTTAGTTTTTGAAGTGAGGACTCGACAGCATAAAGCTAAAAGCAGTATCGTCGGCGGTTTCCGTGCTAACTAGCTAGAAGAGCATTCCTCCAACATGAATCCGTTGTGTGGCAGATGTAATCTAGTCGTATACCCCACGGAAAAAGTGAATTGTCTGGACAAGGTAAGAACGTGAAAATGTCGCCTTACTTCTTACTCTTTGTTTAAGAATACTCCTTACACCCCAACATTCTTTGGTACGTTTTCTACACGCATTCTGCTCTGCTAAAATGACACCCTTCACGTATTTTTGTGAATGAATCGAACACCCCAACAGGACAGGTATTTCGCTAGCAAGACAAGCTAACGGCTAGCTTAACGTCTGGGAGGCGATGTCACAAGACCCGAGCGCGGACTAGAAGCAAAATATCGTGTTGATAATGGACAACTTTAACAAAACAGAATATATTTATTTTTTTCAACTCGACAATGACTCAAGGCTACGGTATTGATTCGCCCTAAAACCAGCGTCTCACGGTGCTTCCGACAGCCTGGTTTGGGCCTGGCTGGAATCTGCTTAGAAGAAAACTGATGTTTAGCTTACGTTTCTAACCTCAACACATCTAGTTGTAGCATTTACCTTTTACAAATACTTAACGATTCATGACTTTTGATGGAATGAAATAGTCCAATGTCGTGGGCAGCATGGTCAGATTTAGACATGTCTGTGTCCAATTCACCGGCTAATCCAAGTCAGGGATCATTAGAGGAGCCGCCTCAATTACTTTTCAGTCAAAAGCAGATTCTTAATCTCAGCCAAGGTGTTAATCTCATCAATATTATCCGTAGGGACTCCTATGTCCAGCTCATTAGATCACATCTGAGCTACAATTCCAGTTAACATTGATTCATCACAGCTTGTCATTGGAGGGAAATGTGAAATAAGTCCTGCATTTACTGAATGCTGTTGCACTCAGACTGTAATTTTGCAACAACATACATGTAACACACACTCACTTTACTAGTTGGGTGGGGTCTATTGTTTGTCATATGAAGAGTAGTGTTTATGTATTTTGGCCAAAGCAGTGCTTGGGGCAAGTATATCATTTGTCTAATGGACGTCTGAATGGCTATTGAAAATCAATCCCTGTTGAGACTTGCTTACCTGACAGGGAAGGCGGGGAAAGAGCACACAAAGCACATTATCTAAAGTAACATCACTTCTTGATTGAATGCAATATTTCTCTCTGCAAATATGTGTTCTTGAACGCACCATGAGTAATGTTTTCCCAAATTGCTCTGGACTGGAATTTATTTCTCAGAATCCCTGTCACACAAAAATACAAGTCATGTTAGAGTAGACTGGCATTGATGATAACCAAATTGCCACAAGTACAGCCTGAATACGCGTTGGTATCTGGCCTGAAGCCGAGTGCATTCCAGCAGACAGACACTCCCATAAAGCGTGCTCTTGTCAGGGGCCTGCTGTGTCGTCTCCCTGCTGCTCTGAACCCATACAGGAGAGTAGCCTGCCGTCCGTCTTTGCTGCCATTCTGCATCAGTGCTCACCCCTTCAGACATGCCAACAAAATCAACCCTTCCCCATCTCCGTGGCGCGCACACATACAGACACTACCCTTCTCTTTCTGTTAAAAGCAGCTACATTGGCTGTTTTTTTTCTTCCATGTGCTAGGCTAGCTCAGGTGAAGGCAGAGGGGAGTTGAGTGTTCTCCCGCTTCCTCCATTGGTATTCTGAGCCGCTGATGAATGGGTACCTTTACCTGACAGTGTTTTTCTATAACATCCCCCTCTGTGGGGCAGAGAGTTTGAGCCACAGAGGCTTGTTTGTCTGTCAGCTGCATTCCACTATAGCAGGGCTGGGCCCAGCAGAGGGAGCGGGCAACAGAGCACATGTAAAGACAGGAAGTGAATTTTGGTTGAGCTGTTAGCCTTGTTATTTGGCTTTCCTTTATTTCTTAAGAGACTGTTGATAGTAAGGAGTTTTAAGCTGTAGTTTTTTGATATAAAATCAGGCTCAAATCAGTTTGGTTAGTTTTTGTTGCTTTTGAACTCCAGCCAATACAAACTTGTTACAAGGAAGTGATAAAGTAGTTGTTTTTACCAGCGCCCTTAATGCAACCCTTAAAAATAAAAATGTTCATATTAGGTTAATGTGCATTGTCTGGAGGATTGCAATGATTTGTATGTGTGTCACAAGATTAACAGCCATTTCCTGCACTCAGGAAGTGTGTATTTTCAAGATAAATTGAGAGATCCGTGTTGAGTGGTTAACGCTTAAAGCTGATCCCTCACTGAAACACTCAACTCTGCGAGCTGTCTGCCTTTTGCATGTGTGAATCCCAGAGCCTGTCCCCACCTGCAGTTGAAGAGAAACAGATGTATTCATATTTAACTGTGCTATTGTGCCGTAAATTCTGAAGCTGTCAAACTGGGTCCAGAGTGGGTAAATCAGCTACTATTTCAGCGAACATAGTGTTTTCAAAATCTATAAATAATGTGAGAAAGTGACTTCTTCTGAAAGCTCATCCTTCAACAAGTATGAAGCCTAAACACATTTGCTTCTGGCTCTTGAATTCATGTTTTGGCTTTTTGATGTTAAATGTCAAAACATCTTGATAAGTGTTTGGACACACTCTTGGTAAGATTCATTCTGAGGCAAGACCTGTTTGCTTGTTGCAGACGCTGCTTTTACAAAACAAAAGATCTCCCACATGGCACCAAGTATCATAGATAAGAAGACACAATACAAAACAGCTTGTCAATGGAGGAAAAGGTCAAAAGAAATAAGGATGTATGGACAAAAGCCAGCCGGAGGTTATTTTCCTGATATCAGCAGTGAAGGCTTTTACAATACAGACAGACAAGAAATATCACTGTTTTCATGATTCTGCTGTCCTGGTTTTCTTCACTTATGTTGAACCAACAATTTCAATAGCTAGCTTTTTTTTTTATTTAGTCTTTGAGTTGAGCTGGTAGCAATAAAAGGGACTGCACTTCTTGGTTCACATGATCTCAAATGTTCAGACACAGCTGGCATTAACCAAAGTGTGTGTAGAAATCAGATTTCATACACCATTCGCTTCACACTCTGACGTATCCGACACATACGGTCATTCTGTACTCTAGCTTTCACAGTTACAATTGACTCGGGTTCATTTTTATTATTTAGCTAACAAATTGGTTGCTGTGTTATTTGGCTTCCGTGTGGGGTTTCTGGTTCAGATGTGTGCCCCAATTGTGCTGCTGCCTTTCAATCCCAGGAAATTGCTGCAAAAGAGGGTTAAAGGTCAGAAGAGTACAGTATGAGATTTGTGCAGCTCAGAACAGTCTTTACAGCACGAGTGATTACATCATGCTTAGTCATGTGAAATAAATCCTTAAAATGGGCTTATTCAAAATCACAAATGTTTTTATCTCATCGTATGAGATATATTCCTTTCTGTTTCTATTTTAGTATAGCGCCAATAGAGCTATTTTACAACCAGTCTTCCTGTGTAAAATGGGGTTTTTCCTTCTGCTGATCCAGTTCAAACTCATTTCCTCTGACTCCGATTTTAGAAGAATTTGTCTACCGCCTTGCCTATGTTTAGAGCTGAATCATGTTGTCCTTAAGCCACAAGAGGTGAGGTATGTATCCAGCCACCTCCTTTCAATGACTCAAAAACACATATGACTGCTAAAATCACCTGACGTGTTGACTCCACAGTGAGCAGCCAGGTACTTCTCCTTTGTGCCTTTTATCAGAAAAAGGAACTCGTCGACATGTTTGCTTTCCCGGACCAACAATCTGGCCTCTCTGTTGCTTTGCCTTAAGCAAATGCATAGAAGGCCAACGGAAAGTGATCATTTTAGCCAAACGACATGGCAATATGATACCATGTTTTTTTAAATGAATTCATACAGATAATTTAAAACACACCGGAAGTGATTGACATTTCACCTTTACTGTGCTTATGTTATTTTTCTTCTTTTACTAATGTTTTGTCTGTACGGTGTATTTTACTAAAGTGCACATCACAGATTGGAGTGGTTTTGAAAGTGTGTTAAGTGCATTCTCCACTCTTTCCTAGTATGTCTGTTCAAATCACTGTCTGCCTGCATACCAGCAACCAAGCCTTTGGCATGGGTGGAAATGAATGGCATCAGGTAGGCTAATAATGAACCAGCATGCTTTTAATGAGTTAGTTTCCTCTATTAGCAGCACCAGCCAGATGTGGCTACTTTGTCTTTAGGCATGTACTGTCTTACGCAAGAATAAACTTCCACACATACACATAGTAAGCTGCTGTAATGCCTTACTGTGCGTGTGTTTGCTGATCTTTTGTATTTATCTAGCCACCTTTGGTTTAGAACAAACTTCTGAGTCCAAGAGCCATGAGAGCCTCCTTGGAGCATTGGTCCTAATGGTCTCTTGAAGCATGACACAAAGTTATTGAAGGGAACTGCTACTGATCTAGAAAAAAGTAGGGTCCTTCATGAAAATGAAGGACCCCTAGGGATGTCCTTCACTGCTATAAGGCGCTAAGTTCCTCTGATGCATAATTTGGTGACTCACAGATGACTGGATCATGAAAATCCCCTTAACACAGTTTAAAGCTTCAGTCCATTCTTTTTTTATCTAAAAATAAAACAATATTGGGAAGGAGGCTTCTGGTCAAATCAGTACGCCTTCTTCTTCAAAACAATGCTTTGTTTTGCTGTGGCTAGTGCACTAAAAGAGGTAGGAAATCTACCGTGTATGGATTAGACACTAATACAGATAAAGGAAGTGGTAACAACCCTGCATCATTTGAATGCCTTAAACCAGTCCCTTTATCAGTCAGTAGTTAGCGTCAGACTATGCTTATTTTCAGACTCTTATTAGCTGTCCCTCTGTGTGTCTGATGTGTGTGCACATAAACATGGAGTCTACAAATGGCCACAGGGTTTTTATCCAGGCTAACTTGTATTTGGTTCTCACCAAGAGGGAGCGGTGAGGCTGACTGAGCATTTCTGCTCTTGATTGGACTCTTGCATCCCAGCTTACATGCATGCATCATGCATCGAGACTTATAACCTACATACAGTACTACACATATGTACACACACAGTTATTACTCACACACGTATAGACAAGCGGCTACACATGTGCCCTTGGGCTGCGCTGATGCAGGGAGACAGTGCTGTTTTTGTTTTTTTTATGGGTGTTTTATTTCTAGGGCTCCGTCTCTGCAGTGTCCTCATTTTCCAGCTGAATGCCAGATCCTGTCTCGGCACCCAAGGGCCAGGTTTTCCTGGATCTCGAGGAGGATAAGTGCTGGATGGCCTCTGGAACACACATTTGGGATGTTTCCCACCCCTACATTTCTGCTTTTCCCTTCCTCTCCCTTTGGCATCAGTATAAGTCCCAGACCATCATATTCCTACTTGATACTGTATTTTAAGATTGTATCTAAGTTCAGATGAGATGATTAGTGATTCACGCTTGGCATTAGATTAGTATTAAATGTGACATCTTGCTAAAAAAAGAGACAAAAGGCAGAATTAACTAAATAAGTTAGACTGACAGCATTATTATTATTTCAACATTTCTATAGGCACTTCAATAATATCGTCGTCTTAAATCCTTCAAGTAAGAACAATTGTGTAGTGAAAATCTGATGTTGTGATTATATTTGACCTCCCTCCGAATACACAAAAAAGAAGTGGCTAAATACTGACTGAATAATACTAAGTTCACCGGGAGATCCTTTTTTAATTTGTCAGTGAAAATGCACTTTCAATTGAATATAAACACACTTCACCAGATGTAGTGACCACATGTGGCCTGAGTGCATTTTGGCACCTGTGTTTAGCTTGTTGTTGCTTCTTCCAAAAGGCTGTTTAGCCGGATATCTGCTCACCTGAGAGGGCCTGTGTTATCAACATGAAGATGACAAGGGTTGTCCTGGTAAAATGTGGGTTAGCAGGTTGGAATAATTTTTCTAAACAGTTCACTTCAGCAGGCTTGGTCACTGGAGTAAACCCAAGGTCAATATTTAATTTAGGGAAACAACGCGCGTGCCAAAGTCCAAGCTCACTCAGCTGATAGGCTCACATTTCATCTAAACGCATTTGCATCCACACTACTCCTGTTAACATTACACTGTGTTAGCTTATCCCTGGTCATCATGGAGAAGGGGATAATAGTCTGTGGAGAACATTACGCTGTGTAGATGAAGCAGACGGTTTGCATGCAAAGATGGCAGCCACCACAGCTGCAAATGAGCGAGAAGCTGGAGGAAATGGAATCTGCCTACACTGTGCTGTTGTTTGTAGAGATGTGCCATTGCAGTACTGGCCAGAACAATGGAGAGGGAGAGCAGTGGAAAAAGTAACATGATGTGTCCATCTGCAAGTCCCTCAGGCCCCGATGGGTTGTCGTGGGATAAGCAGTTTGGATTGGAAGGCTTGGCCCAGTGTGTTTGGCTGTTGATCACAGCTCCACTGAGCAGTGCCCAGGCTTGGTCTCTGCTGTGAGCCTCCTCTTTTGTATGCATTACAACAATATTGCTGGCCCACAGCAACAAACACCCAAGTCAAACGTGCAAACACTTGCCTGTTGTCATTGAACACCACCTTGGGTGGTCTGTTCCAAGCAGACAGAACAGACAAGACTGTTCTTAAAACCAGCCTGAAGCCAAAGGAAAAAAGTCTTATGCCCATTGTGCTTTGGGTTTGGTCATGTTTCCATAAATAGTGCTGCCATCATTGTGTCCATATAGGCGGCTTCACAATGGAGCAAGTACCAGCTGCAACCGCACGTACAGATTTGGGGAAGCAATCATGTGTTTTGGCATTCTCACTTCTTGATCATACAAGTACAACAAACGTTTGAGCTAGTCTGGATTACAAATAGTTCCATCTGGCTATAGCATATGAGTTTAACATTACGTTTTCCTGTTGTTACCTAGTTCTACTACGAACTCCAGACAATGTCCCGGGAATAAAGTGTTGACATATGTTTGGGTTGTCTAACCGCATTGAGGCTAACTACCTTATTCCATTCGGAATATCTGTTTCGCAGCTTTGCATTCCTCTTGAAAAACATATGACATATAGACATTATACACTTAAGCTTAAGCTTGATACGTGGTACAATATAAAACCAGCTTTATAAAAAAAGAGAAGCTTTATTGGTCATGATTGAAGGCCCTATATTGCAAAAAAGGACACTTTGAGGTGTTAATTAAATTAAATCTTCCTTCCACACATCTCCTTGTCTGTCACTTATTTTGCAGCCCCACTTGTACTTATATCTAGTCCACCATGATTGTGTCTACTGTCCATCTGCAGCTTTCACCGTCGACATCCTGGTGATTTATCCGTGCTGTAAAACATACTACAGTATCTATCAAAACATTTTATTTATTTGTATTATCATAAATGGATGGGTCTTACCCCAGGAACAATGTGTAGAATCAAACATGCATGTGTTAGTGAGTGAAACATTGAGAAAGTGAGCTTGCTCTTTGATGTGCAGTTTCTCTGTTTTGAGTCATATTTTCTGTGCTGTTTGGAAAATGTGTATATTGTGTGTGTGAGCAATTAGTGTAGAAGTGAATAAAGCGCGGGAGAAAGAATGAGCGTAATGCCCGATCACCCTGAGGCCATGTTAATAAGGACTCCGTCTTGATTTCCCCCCCATTTTCTCTCTTTCGTGGTTTTTGCACTCCTTTCTCCCTTCCCTTGACGATAGCAGGAGCAGCCAGATCATTGCTCCACTCTCTGGCAATGTCTCTCTTTTGCCCACCCCTCCCTTCCTCTTGCTCCTTCCTTTCATGTTTCCTCTCTCCTTCCAGTACTTTTCTTTCTCCGATCCTCCCTCCCTCAATCCCTCTTTGAACCCTCAGGCCACAGAGCAGCCCAGTGCCAAGAGAGAAAAGGGAAGGAGGCGAGAGGGCCTGCGGGTGGGAGGAAGGGAGAAAGGGTAGTGAGAGAGATAGAGGCATGGCTTCTCTTGAAGATGGAACAGGGAAATGCAGGCCTGCAGAGATGAGCACACAGAGTCCAAAGGTGCTACATGCAGAGCTAGCACAGTCCCTGCATCACCAAGCGAAAGTAACTTCTTTGGTTTGTTTTCACACATCAGGCACAAAACAAAAGTGTGAAAATTGATAAACCCCAGATTAGATGATAGAAGTAAAGATTCATACTTGTTAATCACAAACTTTACAGCTACCTCCTTACCACAAACACCAGCTCAGTGACCCAATCTACTTATTAATAGTAACAATTCAAGCAACCACAAACTACTGTGTTTCCACTTTGCTTAGCTCTTTTCCACACCGTCTTAACAGTCACTATTCTTTCTGTCTGTATCAAGCTCACGTCCCTGTGAAACCTCAAGGGAAAAGAACATAGTTCTGGCCTCACTCACTCACTTCCTTTCCTTTGCTGTATGGGTGTTCTTATGTGTGTGTGGCCTTTTTTGGATCCAAAATGAAGGTGAAATAAATGTCTAAAATCTCTCTTTCCTTCGTTTCTGACAGTACTGGCATAAAGGATGCTTCAGCTGCGAGGTCTGCAAAATGACTCTAAACATGAAGAATTACAAAGGCTTCGAGAAGAGACCTTACTGCAATGCGTAAGTTGTCCCCAAGTTGTCATTGTGTGTATGTCAGTGAGCATGTCTCATGTTTTCACGCTCAAATGGTTTATCATCATGCATCCCAAAGCCGCAGCAGTGTTTAATCTGTCCTCAGATGGAAATAGGACTCTCCAAATGTGTGTGTGTAATCATGTTGCAACCCAACTAAGGCCCCTCTATCCCTCCTCTGCTGTTTATCAGTGACTATTACAGCGCCCCCCCCCTTAGAGAGAGGGCCTATATGTGGTGTGGGAAAGTGCCTACCTCCCTCCTCCTCCTCCGTGGGGAAAGGGGGGGGTATCAACAAAGGAAATTCCTAAAGTTCCTCTACAGTGACACGGGCAGACACACTGAAAACTAGCATGTCCACTCACGCCCCAGCACTCACACTAAAGACTCATCAGGAATCCATGGAATCCCCCTCTGCCATTACTTCTCTCTCTCTCTCTCTCTCTCTCTCTCTCTGTGTGTGTGTTTGAAGAATGCAGAGAGGAAAAGGCGTTCATGTTCTGACAAGCTCTTTTGCCTTTTCTCCTGAACTGCCATTTTATTGGCAGTAAATGAAATCAAGACGTCATGCTAGCATTCTCATCCCTAGTGGAAACTCGAAGTATGCTAGCATGTTGTCAGCTGATTTTGTGCTACTGGTTAAGTAGCAGAGATACTATGCTATGTTTACTTTGACATGTGAAATTGTCTCCTGGGAAAGGGCCAATGGTGCTTTATTATTGTAGAGTGATTCTATTTGCTAATAAGCGCCCTTAATCTTTTAACAATAAAAGCCCTACACCCTTAGCTCACCACTTACAGGTGTTTACTTAGTCGCTTTGACATTTCAGTTAATGATAAACTTGAGTGTTACCACAGCAAATTCTCCGTATTTCTCCACCCATCCTCACCTAAATAAAGCATACAAGCTCAATGACCTATGTGCTGATGAAGTATTGTATTTTTAATATGATTTGTAATAGTAACCATCTCTAGCCTGAAATCTCTCTGTGACCTTCCTTCCTCCGTTCTTTCACTTCAAGGTGTTTCCCCCTACAGCAGGTGTCGTCATACTGTCACCTTTGTCTCCACGGACTACAGTTTCTTCCTCTTCTCCCTTTCCTGCCTCCAATGCTCCCTTTGCTCCCCTCGCCAGCAGAAGCAAGGCCCTTCAGAGCCTGTTTATTATGCCTCCTTCCGTTTGTTTAAAACAAGCCTTGTTGGAGTAAACATCATAAGTGGAAGAGCCTCCCGCTTCAGGAGAGGAATTCAGGCCATGGTCTCTGTCATTATTCTGTGGGATAGCTACTTTATCATTACTCTTCTATATTTGCCCTCAGTAATTGATATAGGCGTTGTTTGTTTTCACTGTGTTCCCACCCACCTCTTCCCTGATAGTCCCATCCCTGTTTAGATCCTAAAGTCACAAGGGATTGTGGGAGATTTAGGAGAAGAGATAACATTCTTCATTTCCCAAGGAGACCGTGGGAGATATTGGAGGGCGCTACCTTAATCACTGATAGTCCAGAAATTAAACATCAATGTGGTGTTATTAAAGCTTGTCACAAATGTCTTGAGTTAGCGTTATTAATCAGACGATGCCTGCTGGTTTTATTCCATTTAACACAGTCTGGAATCATTTGTTGATAAATAGTTAGTCAAGATGAAAGCCACTTTTACAATGTGACCTGACAGTGCTTCCTGGGCTGAGCTGCTGTATGTATATAATTAGCCTGAGAAAGAGCTTTACATCATTGAAAGATATATGAGCCTCTTTGTATAATGGATAATACCAGTCACTGTACAGCAGATAGTTCTGCCTGTTGCTTTCAACGCTGCCTCTACCAACTACAGCTCCTCTACTGTGATGTGTGTTTTTTTACGAGACTTCTGTGCAGATTAGGGCTGTGCGATTATGGCAAAATTAATAATCACAATAATTTTGGTCAATAATTGATATCATGATTATTAAAAACGGTTATCCATTTACTTTGAAAACATCCATTCATTGAAAAAAAATATGTGAACAGTATTTTTTTAACAGTTGATTACACTGAACTTGAACTATAATTCAACTGAAAAACCAATAAAATAAAAAAATTATTT